TGGTGAGGGCCCTGGTGAGGGCACGGTGAGGGCCGTGGTGAGGGCAGTGGTGAGGCGTGGTGAGGGCAGGGTGAGGCGTGGTGAGGGCCGTGGTGAGGGCAGGGTGAGGCATGGTGAGGGCAGGCAACCTCGAGGTATGGGGCTGGGAGGGGCTGGGAGGCTTAGCTGTCTCTGCTCCACTGGTCTCCAGCAGTGACCCCTCCTGAGACCGTAACTGGGGTGAACTGTCCTTCTGTTTTTCTGGACAGGGAGAGAGTGGCAGCAGATCAAGCCCCAAACCCCCTGCCCTGGGTGGGTCCTGGCTTCCCTGAGATGGTCTGTGAGTGGGGAATGAACGAGATGGAAAGTCACTGACCCTGAAGAGCTACACTGTGGTGGGGGAGGCAGCTGCCAAGTCAATGACGAACACTCATTTAGTTAACAGGTCTGAGAACATTAGCAGGTGCCCGCTGGGACGCCTGGCCTCCTGGTGCCAGGGACAGGCTGCTCAGTTGGATGTGCAGGCAGCGTCAGGAAGCGGATGCATGAGACAATGACCCACAGGGAGGGGATGGGGCTCTTGCAAGGCTTGCCTTATTCAGGGACGTGTCAGAAGCCGTGAGCCCTGGAAGCAGGACCTAGGGCAGGAGGCTGAGGGAGGCGGAGACTTCTGGGGCCCCTGACACAAGACCAGCCCTGGGGTCTCACGTCCTGCCGGGTCCTGGCTGTTGCAGCGACGGGTTCTCAGTGGCCCACACAGTAGGAGTTTGGACAGAAAATAAGCATCTCCCTGCTCTGTAAGGAGGGGCTGGGGGCTGACGACTGTGAAGATGTAGGATTTTGAGTCCGCTGCGCCCATCCCTGCCCAGATGGGACACTTCGGATGAGGTTCTCACCCTTGGTTTTCTGATCTGTCTCTTTAAGAGATGCCATGAGGATTACATTGGGGTAGACAAGGTGCTTTCACTCAAATGCCCAATTGTCTACAAACGGCAGTTAATGGTGGTAACTGTAATTATCATGAGTGGGGAGTCAGGCATGGCTTCGCCAAAGAGGCAGCGTGTGTGGGAAGGAGGCGGGTTCAGGCGGAGGAGATCACACACAAAGGTGGGGGTGTGGGGGAGTGGGGTGCGGTGCCTCAGGGGTCCATACTTCTACACTGCCGGTTTTTCCAATTAAAAAAGAAAAAAATACATTGCTCTAGACTGACACTATTCAAGCTGTCTTCACGGGGCTGGGGAAGGCAAATGACAGGGCAACAGGGCAGGGCTGGAAGGGAGGCAAGGCCTGACTCCGCCTGGACCGCCTGCCTTGCTCCTATGAGCTGGACACATTCAGGGTTCAGGCCCCGAAAAGCAACATCCCCTCCCCCACCTCACCTACTGCTTTGCTCCATCTGAGCATTTCAGAGGCTCAAGGGGTCAGTGGTAGGCCAGGACACAGTCATGTGGCCCCCAGGCCAGGGGAAAGGAGGTGGAAGCCAGCGCCCCCAAGTTCAAGGAATCCCCACTCCCTCCACCCTCCAGCTAACAGACAGAAAGGAAGGGTCCCGGGAACACATAGAAGGGCGGGCACAGGCATCAGCTCCACCCCACCTGTCCTGACGGGCACAGGC